CTCCGCCGCCTTGGCGGCCCCGCGCTGCTCCGCGCCGCCGTGCCGCGCCTCCGCGGCGGCTGGAGCCCCTGCCAGCTGTACCGGTACCCCTCCGGAGACCCCCGCCCCAACGGCACCGGGCCCTGCACCCGCGGCTGGCACTACGCGCTGCCCGCCGCCGGCCTCCGCGCCAACCTCGTCACACAGGTGGGCACGGGGTGCTGCGACCGGGGGGGTGCCAGGCCTGGGGAGAGGGGGGACCCCCGGGCCTGGGGGAGTCTGCGGCGCTGGAGGGGGATGAGGGGTCCCGTGGGTAAAGGAGGGGTCAAGGGAGGGGCCTGGGAACGCTCTGGGGGGGGATACCCGAGAGGAGTCAGGGGGACAAACCGGGGGGTCCCAGCCACCAGAGCCTGCTGGGGGCTCCGGTAAGGATCCCACGGGAAAGCCCTGGATGTGCACGGGCAGCAGTGACCCCTGGAGGGGTTTGGGGCTGGCTGGGAGAGCCCTGGGGAAGGGTGCTGAGGGGCTGGAGGGTGTCCAGGGCTCTTGGAACCGCCTGTACTGCCCCCTCACATCTGTCCCCACATTTCTGTTTGTGGGGCGGGGGCTCTCCAGACGCCCTGCAGCCCCATCCATCCCAGCCCTGTGGGCAGTGCCAGGGGGTCTGCCAAGCCCCCCAGGCTGACACGTCCCCGCTGTGTCCCCGCAGTGGGACCTGGTGTGTGCCTCGCGCTGGAAGGTGCCCCTGGAGCAGACCACGCACCTGCTGGGCTGGACGCTGGGCAGTGTCACCGCCGGCCTGGCCTGTGACAGGTAGTGGGGGTCCCCGGGCAGCCCCCGGGGCAGGGGGCACCGTGCCCAGCCCCTCACAGCCCATCCCTGGCAGGTTTGGCCGCCGTCCCACCTTCCTGCTGTCCCTGGCGCTGGCCGTGCCCGTGGGCCTGGCCGTGGCACTGGCCGTGGATTTCCTCATGGTCCTGGTGGCACGGCTGCTCTTTGGGGCCGCGCTGGCAGGAGCCTTCCTCGCCCTCTACGTGGCACGTGAGTGTGAGGGGGGCACCCGAGGGGGTTTGGGTGCTGAGGGTGCTCCAGGACGCCCTGGGGTGCGGGATGCTCCAGGCTGTCCCGGGGTGGTCTGGAATACCGGGTGCTCCAAGGTGCAGGATGCCCGGTGTCCTCGGCACCCACTGTGGCCCCCTCGCCCCCTGCCAGGGCTGGAGCTGTGTGACCCCCCGCACCGCCTGGGGGTGACGATGGTGGCCGGATTCTTCTGGATAGCCGGGGAGCTGCTGCTGCCGGGGCTGGCCCTGCTGTGCCGGGACTGGCGGGTGCTGCAGGGCGCTGTCACCATGATCCTGGCCCTGCTGGCTGCCAGCTGGTGGTAAGGACCCCCGGGCAGGGGGCTGCGTGGGACTGGGCTGTGCCCCGGGGCTGGTGCCACCCTGTTCCCAGCCCAGGACACCTGCCCAGGATGGGGATCAAAGGCCACCCGGGGCTCTCCAGAGGAGTGGGAACCCCCCCACCCTGGGTAAATGTTTGCTCAGGTTTGCAGCTGAGGGTTTCTGGGCAGCGTTGCTTTGAAGCCAGGTGGGAAGGTCAGTGCTGGAGGGTGGCCAGCCCCTGGGGAGCCCTGTGAGCTGACACTCGTGCCCCAGGTGCCCGGCACTGCTGCTGGAGTCGCCGCGCTGGCTGCTGGCCACACGGCAACCGGAGAGGGCCAGGAAGACCCTGCAGGCGCTGGCCGAAGACAACTGCCCCCAGGACAGCCTCCTCGCGGGTGCGTGGGGGGCTCCGAGCGCCATCGGCCCCATCCCCAAAGCCCTGCTGTGGGGCTGGTGTAACAGAGCCGGCTCTATCCCGCTTTTCCCTGTCCCGGCAGAGCTGGAGGCCCTGCCCGAGGGGCCCCCGCGGCCCCGGTACCACTCGGTGTGCGAGATCTGCAGCACCAGGGTCATCTGGAAGAACGGCGTCATCCTCGGCTTCGCGGCGTGAGCGGCGGGGCTGCGGGCGGGTGGTCCTGGGGCGGGGGTCCCGCTCGCCGCCCCCTGACCCCGCTGTCCCTTAGGTTCATCGGCTCCGGCATCCGCCACTGCTTCACCCGCAACCTTGTCCCGCACCTGCCCCACTTCTTCTCCTCCCACCTGGCGCTGCTGGGCACCGAGGCGGCCGCCTGCCTCTTCGTGTGCCTGACCGCCGAGCGCTTCGGGCGCCGCGCCATCCTCCTGCTCTGCACCGTCCTCACCGGCATCTCCTCCCTGCTGCTGCTGGCCCTCACCCAGTGTAAGCCCCCGCGGGACCCCCGGCACGCAGCCCCAGCCGGGGGGAGGAGGTGGGTGCGGGATTTGCCCCCTGACGTGCTTTCCCCCCCCGGCAGACCTGCTGGAGCTCATCGTGCTGACCCTGTCCGTGGTGGGCACGGCCGCCTCCCACGCCGTCACCATGCTCAGCATCTTCTTCGCCAGCGAGGTTCTGCCCACCGTGGTCAGGTAAAAGGGGGAGCTGCCCCCCTCTTGTGCTGCCCCGGAGCGGGGGGCAGCGGGCAGGACCCCCTGAGCCTGTTCGTCCCGCAGGGGCGCCGGGCTGGGCCTGGTCGTGGGCGCCAATTTCGTGGGCAAGGCTGCGGCGCCCATCACCGCCATCCCCAACAGCCGCGGCTTCTTCCTGCACCACGTCGTGTTCGCCTCCTTCGCCATCCTGGCCGTGCTCAGCATCATGTTACTGCCCGAGAGCCAGGGCCGGGGCCTGCCCCAGTCCCTGCAGGACGGCGAGAGCCAGCGCCGCCCGCCCCTGTTCCGCCGCCCCCCCCGCGAGGACCACCTACCCCTGCTGGCCCCCCACGCCATCCCCCACGACTATTCCTGCCTGGCCGCCTCCACCAAGAGGATGCTGCGCTCCCCGGAGCCCCCCCGCGAGATGTAGCCGTGCTCCCCGCGCTCCCCGGGGCTCTCCCTGCCGGGGGGGGCTGAGCAGGGACCCCCCCACCCCACCCAGGGATGTTAGGGGAGCAGCAGGACGCGTGGGCTGGGGGGCAGCGCCCAGCCCGCGGTGGGGCCTGGTCCCGCCCCAGGAGCGGCGGTGCTGGGGGCCCTGGGGCAGGGGGGAAGCCCCCCGGGGGTCTGCCGCCTCCCAATAAAAGTGCCTTGTTTCTACGGGTCGCTGGTGTGGGGGGTCACACACCCCCGCCACCAAGCCCCGCTCTTTATTATGGGGGTGCCCAGGGGTCTCGTCGCCCCTCCCCAGCTGTGTGGGGCTCACCCGGGCGGCCCCCCAGGTTTGCTGAGCTGGGCTCTGCAGGGTGGGGGTGTGCACCCCGGCACGGAGGCTCTCGTTGCACACGCGTGTGCAAACCGCTCCAGCCGGGCATCCCGTGCGGGTCCACTCGTGAAGCCGCCGCCTCTGGGCATGTCCTCTGTGTGTGTGTGTGAGCTGCCCGCTGCCCCGCCCTGCCCCAGCCCCTCCCTGGGCAGTGGGCTGTCCCCCGCTGCCCCCCATCCCCGCTAGTGCCCGTAGAGGTCGGCCAGGCGGCGGAAGCGGGGCCCCCACTCGCTCAGGTAGTCGTAGTCCTGGTCCTCGTCCGTCAGGCTGGACACGATGGAGCTGAGGGGGCTGGCGACCGAGCCCGAGCCCTCGTAGTCGTAGATGAGGGCCGTGTCATAGGGGGGCACGCTGGGGTCGCTGTCAGCCGCCTCCAGCCCCTGCAGGGACGGGGGGGCACCGTCACCCCGGGCAGTGGGGGACTGGTGGGGGACTGCCGGGCCCCGACCCACCTCATTGATGAAGTCCTCGATGTCGGAGGGGCTGCTGGGCAGCTTGCGGGGGACCATGGGGGTCCCGGAGCTGAGCGGGGCGTCCCTGCGCAGGGGGGGCTTGGCCCGGGGGGAGAAGAGCTCGGGGTGCCGGAGCTGATTGATGTCGTAGGCGTCCTGCGGGGCCGGGAGGGGTTTAGGGGCGCAGGGCTGAGCTGCGGACCCCCGGGACCCCCCTGCCACGGGTCCTGCTCACCTGGTCCTCCTCGCCCCCGCCCTGCTCGTCGTAGTTGAGGATGTTGTCGCGCATGTCGTCCCGGGAGCGCTGCAGGAGCCCCTTGCGCAGAGCCCGGCGGCGCCCGCGCACCCGCGCAGCGCCCAGAGCCGCCAGCACTGCGGGGACACGGCCACGCGGGACACGGGACACGCGCGTGGGCATGGAGAGGCACGGGGCGATGGCTGGGGTGGGACGCGGTGGGGCTGGGAGGAGGGATTGGGGTGGGATTGGGGCGGGATGGGCAGCGAGGGAAATGAGAGGGTCTGGATTGCGGTCAGAAGGGGTTGCTGGGTAGGGGGAGGTGCTGGGGGTCGTGGGTAGGGTTGGGTGGGAGGCCAGGCCCAGGATGGGGTGCTGGGTGGGGGTCAAGGTGACAGAATGGGCTGCTGGGGTTCGGGAGGGGCGGCCAGACCAGCACGGGGCCGGGGTGCCACGGGCAGGGGTGCAGGGTTGGGGAAGGACGGAGCGGGCCGCACTCACCGAGGAGGAGGATGGTGCTGCCCAGGATGATCATGAGCGCCCCGAGGGTGATGCCGGCCCCGGCGGTGGCCGCGGCCAGTGCCCCGTCCAGGCAGGTGCCGTCGCGGCCGCAGTGGCACACCGAGACGTTCAGCAGCTGCTGCTGCTCCCGCGGGGGGGTCCCCGAGTCCCGGAGCAGCAGCGGCAGCGAGTAGGGCCCCTCGGGCAGCTCCGCCAGCACGGCCAGCAAGGCGTGGGTCACTGCGGGGCGGGCAGGGGTCAGCGGGACCCTCCGTGCAGCATCGCCCCCAGGGCCCCGGCCGACCCTCACCATTGAAGCGGGCGATGCTCCAGTTGCGGGCGAGCTGCGGGTGCTGGGGGCTGAGCTGGAAGTGGAAGGGGGCCCCGTGGGGGGGCCGGTCATCGTCGGTGGCCCCCAGGAGCAGGGTCCCCCCGCGGCCCGGCCGCCCGCAGAGCACCCCGGCCGGCGGCTGCAGCTGCGGAGCGTGGTCGTTCACCTCCAGGATCTCGATGGAGAGGGTGCCGGTGGCCGAGAGCGGGGGCTCGGCTGGGGACAGAGCAGAGGGGTCAGCGGGGGCAGCGGGGGCGAGGGGCCGGGGGGGCGGCTGCTCACCATCGTCGCGGGCGAGTACCAGGGCGATGTACCAGCCGCCCTGCAGGAAGGCAGAGGGGTGCAGCAGCTCCCGCTTGGTGCGGACGGTGCCGGCGTGAGGGTCCAGCTGCAGCCAGTCCGCGGGGTCGTAGAGCAGCGCGTAGCTGTGGGCGAGGGGCTGCGTGAGACATCGCCCCCACCCCCCCGCCGGGGCCGTGGGAGGGGAGCGCGACTCACGAGAGGGTCTGCATCTGGTGGGTGTCGGGGTCGCTGGCGGTGTAGGTGGTGATGGGGGTGCCCGGGGGTGTCCCCTCCAGCACGCTGATCCGCCGCGGGTTCTCGCGGAACGCGGGCGCCTCGTTGACGTCCCGCACCCGCACCCGCACCGTGGCCAGCGCCCGGGGGCTGCCGGGGGCCGAGGGCTCCAGCGGCCGCTCGTTCTGCACCGACACCGTCAGCTCGAAGCGGTCCCGCACCTCGTGGTCCAGCGGCTGCGGGAGGGGCCGGGGGTCAGCCGAGCCCTGAGACCCCCCGGGGACCCCTGGCTGCCCCCTGCCCACCTTGACCACGGAGAGCACGCCGTCGTTGGTGTGGGGGTCGGTCCGGATGGCGAAGGCGCCCTCGGGGTCGCCCTCCAGGATGGTGAATTTGGCCAACCAGCTGGGCGAGCCCGCCAGGTCCTTGTCGTGCACAAAAACCTTGCCCACGTCCACACCGGCCGCCTGCTCCTCCACCTCCATGGAGAACTGGGGGAGAGCGGCGTGGGGCTGGACTCTGCCCCTCTGGGATGCTGCAGACCCCCGGGGGGCAGCTCCCGCCCCGCCGACCCCGGCACGGCCCCGCAGGCCGGCTGTTACCTCCTCCTTGGTGAACTCGGGAGGGTTGTCGTTGATGTCCTCCAGGTAGATGACGGCCATGGCCGTGGTGGTCAGCCCGTCCCCGGACATGTCGGCCGCCTGCACCGTCAGGTTGTACACCCCCATGGTCTGTGGGGAATGGGGGGGACAGAGCTGAGCCCCCCAGCCCCCAGGGAGCACAGAGATCCCCCAGCTGCTGCCCACCCGCCCTGGCTGTGCCCCTGGACGGAGCTGTGGTTTCACCACGTGGGGTGTCCGTGCCTGCCCCGAGCGCCGGTGTCCCCCCGGTCCCGTCCCGGTGACCCCACGCCGCTACCTCACGGTCGAGGCCGGGCCGTGCCGTGCAGATCTCCCCGGTGGTGGCGTTGATGCTGAACATCCCCGCAGCGCCCTGCTCCACGATGGAATAGCGCAGCGCCGCGTTGTCCGTGTCGGGGTCGTCGGCGTCGGTGGCATCCACGGTCATCACGCAGGTCCCTGCGGCCCAGGGGCGCCCGGTGGGTGCTGGCACAGGCCCGGCTCGGCCCCCCCAGCCCAGCCCAGCCCCCCCGGCCGGACCCACCTGGCTCAGCGCCCTCCACCACGCGCCCCGTGAACACGTCCTGCCGGAAGAGCGGCCGGTTGTCGTTCTGGTCCACCACGATGATCTCCAGGTCGGTGGGCTCCTCCAGGGTGACCCCGCCCAGGTCCAGTGCGAAGGCTCTGAGCTGTGGGTGCAGAGTGGGGGGGTCGGAGTGGGGCTGGGGGCCCCGGGAGGGGCTGTGGGCACCCAGGATCCTCCTTACCCGGTAGCGGTCGTGCTCCTCCCGGTCCAGCATGGCGTTGAGGAAAACCTTCCCGGTGAACTTGTCGATGGAGAAGATGCCCAGGGGCTCCTCATCCACCCCCGGCCCTTTGATGCTGTAGATCACCCCTCCGGGCTGCTGCTTGTCTGACTTGATCTGCCCCAGGAGAATCAGGGCTGGGGGTCCCAGGCTGGGGGTCTGCGCCCCTCTGGGGGTGCCCCTGTGCAATGCCCCTGCCCAGGGTGGGGGAGAGCTGGGACAGAGGCTGGGGGGCTCTCACCTACCTGCACCAGGAGGTGGGGGATGCGCTTGTGGTTCTCTGAGACACTGATGGGGGGGATCACCCAGGCCCTCTTCACCCGCCGAGGAGCCTCGTGCTGCCGCCAGCCCTGGGGGGCTGCAGCGCCTGTCTGGGCTGGGCTGGCACCCTGGGGGGACACGGTGCTGCCAGGAACCCCCAGGCTCCGGGCTGGGGTGGAATGCCCGGGCAGTGGGCAGGGAGCTGCACCTGGGCTGGCTGTGCACAGTGGGGCACATGGTGCTGGAGTGCTCCCCCCAGTGCGGGTGGGGTAACACAGAGACCACCCAGCTTCCCCAGGAGCTTTGTGTCAGTGTCCCCTGCCACCCCAGTGTGATGGTGATGGGGGTCCTGCTGGGCTCACCAGGAAGGGCTGCCCCACAAATGATCCCAGTGGTGCCCTGGGCATGGGCTGTGCCCCACAGGACCCCTGGGGAAGGGGAGGTACCTCGGGCAGGCAGCACTTACCACGGCTTCCCCCCATGTCACTGTCACCACACAGACGTGGCAGAGAGGGCTGGGGGGTCAGGGATCAGTTTGAGCTGTCAGTGTGACCCTGAGGGACAGGCCTGGGGTGCTGGGAGGGGGAGGCAGAGGGAGCTGGGGACCTGGGATGGAGCTGGGGGCTGTGAGGGGGAGATTCGGGATGGAAACAAGGGGAACAGGAGTTCTGGTGGGCTGCAGTGGGGCCAGGGAGCTGTGGGGACAAGGATGGGTTACGGGGCTGTGCGGGACCGAGGTCAGGGATTTGGGGTGGTTGTGGGGGGGCAGAGCCATGGGACAGTGGGAGCTGGGGGTGGGGAGGGGGCAGAGAGGTGTGCATGCAGCCACCCACCCCCCAGCTCCGTGCCAGCCTCGTCCTGGCCCCGGGGACAGGTGCTGTCCCCTCCCCGAGGAGGGAGCACATCTGGGCAGCGCCAGCCTTGCACCCACATCTGTGCCCAGCTGTGCCTGCACCGCTGGCTGCCAGGGGGGTCCCTGGAGCCCCAGGGGCCGTGTGTGCCCTGATGGGGGGCAGGGAAATGGGGCAGTGGGGCTGGCTGTGCCGGGGGTCCCTGGGGAGGGGGCTGTGGGGAGGGGGGCTGTGTCCCAGCCCCACGGCGGGGGCAAGGACAAGGGGCTGGTTCTGAGGCTCGGGGGCTGCGCTGTGGCCTCCAGGTCTTTCTCTGCTCCCTCCTCCAGCAGGAGAAACCCCCCGCCCGTCCCTGGGGGCCGCTGGACTGGGGGGGATCGGGATGTGAGGGAGGGACGCCCCGTTCCTGTGGGGCTGCCCTGCAGATCCCCTTTCCTTCCCCTGCCCTGGAGCAGCCGAGCACAGGGTCCAGGCCAGGATCCCAAGGGCCCCGTGTGCCTCAGGCCCGAGACCAGGCTGAGGGGCGCTGGGGGGGCGTGAGCGGGCAGGGGGGTGCAGGGAGGTCCGGGAGCACAGCCGGGGTGGAAAAAAGAGGAGCAGGGTGTCTTTAAGTGCCTAACCCTCCCCCAGAGCCCATCTCAGCCCATCCCGGTCACAGCGCGGGCAATGTGCCGGAGCCGCAGGCCCCCCCCTGCCACGGCCATCTGTGGGGTGGGAAATGCCTCAAGAGGGGCTCCGAGCCCCCAGCACCCCCAGCCCCATCCCCGCTTCTCCCAGGGATGAGTTTCCACGAGGTCTGGGGTCCGGCCGACCCCTGGTTCCGCCTGCAGGCTCCTCATCCCAGCCAGCCCTCCTGGGGCACGGAGCCGGGGGTCCCCATCCCTCCCAGTGCCACCCCCCCGGTGTCCCCGCACCCCTTACCCGAGCGCAGAGCGGGGCGAGCAGGCAGGCGAGGAGGAGCGGGGGGCCCATGGCGGAGCGGGGCACAGCCCGGCCGCCGGCCCCGAGCTAAAATAGCGGCGGGACTGGCTGAGTGACAGCACATGTGCTGCGGGCACCGGACCCCCCCGCGGGCAGCTGGCCCCGCCGCCCCCGGCCCGCAGCCCGCACCCCTGCCCTGCCCGGCCCGGCGGGGGCCCGGCGAGGGAGGTGCGGGGGCCTGGAGGGATGCGGGGGGCGCGGGGGGGTCCCCGCTGGCGGGGCCGGGGTGCGCATCCCGGGCAGGGCGGGCGGAACGCGGCAGCTGCCGCCGGGCGCGCTCCGGGGATGCCGCGACGGGGCGGGCGGGAGGGGGAGAGCCGGGCCCGCCGCCCCCCGGCTGCTCCGGCGCCGGGACAGGGACCGGCACCGGCACAGGGACCGCGGCAGGGACAGGCTCCGACACCGACAGTGGGACACGGGCCTGGACCGGGACCGGGACCGGGACAGGGAGAGGGACCGGGACCGGTTCTTCTCGCCCCCTCGGCCGCGCCTCCCGTCGGGGCGAGCCCGCCCGTCTATCCCCGGCCCTTCCCGGTGCCGGTGCCTTCTGTGCTGGCGTCGGGGCCCGTCCCAGTGCGGAGTCGGGAGAGGGACCGGCAGCGCCCCGTGTCTCCCGGGCGGGGCGGGTTCCCACCGGGAGCGGGCGGGGGCCGCTCCGGGAGTCCCGACAAGGCTCTCGGCCCCTCCTGCCGGTCCCGCGCTGCCCCCCGACCCCCCGGTCCCGGTGCTTTCTCCGGCCCCCGCGGCCAATCCCAGTGCTGCCCTCGAACCCCGCTGCCGGTCCCAGTGCTGCCCTCGACCCCCGGTGCCGGTGCTTCCCCCGGTCCCCGGTGCCGGTCCCGGTGTCTCCCCCGACCCCCGGTGCCTGTCCCGGCGCCGCCGCCGTGCCGTGGCACCAGGTGGCAGCATCGTCCCGGCCACCGGCCCCGGCCCCGGCCGTCCTCGCCGCCCGCGGTGCCGCACCGGGAGCGTCCCCCGCCCGTCCGCTCGGGGTCCCGGGGGTCCCGGTGCAGCAGGGATGGAGACCCACGACCCCCCGGGCAGGGCGAAGGCGTCGAGGAGTTCTTGCCCTCCGGGAAACCGAGTCCCGGGCTTGGCGATATATGCCGGTGACACTGGTGGCACCACCTCGACCCTGCTCGGTAGCACGGGACCCCCGCCCAGCTTTGTCCCTTCCTTGGGAATAAACGCCCTGGGTGCCCTCGGTGCGGGTCACGGCCACGGGGATGGGGAACAAGGCGTGGGAAAAGGGACACAGGAGGAGGGCTGCGGGGTGCGTCCCGTCCGCACCCAGGAGCCGAGCACTGGTGGCGGGGCTGTCGCTGTCCCCAAGGACGTGTCGTGAGCGGCGGGCTCGGGTGACCCGCGGCGCGGGCAGCGGCGCTCACTTGCCCGTCCGTCTGTCCGGTCCCATTTGTCCTCCCCGCCGCCCTGTCACCCCGCATCAGTGTCACGGCGAGGAGCCGGCCCGGCGGCGCTGGCCGGGGGTCCTGGGGCTGCCCGTGCCGTGCCGTGCCGTGCCGTGGCAGCGGGGCGGCCGAGCAGATGCTCGCTGCCACCGGCACCGAGAGCGGGGCTGGCAGACGTGACAGGCTCTGACAAGGCGCCAGCCCCGCTCGTGGGGACGGGGCTGCCGGTGGCACGGCTGCAGCACGGCAGGGACCCCCGGCCCCTGCTGTGCCTGCACTGACACCCCCTGCCCTGCAGATCAGCGGCTCCCGGGATTTGGGGTCCCGCAAGTTCAGGACCAGCTCAGGAGTACGACTCCCCGTGCTGCTCTGGGTGCTGTGTCCCCCGATTTTGGAGGGTTCCCCTCCCACTGACACCCCGTGCCCTGCCCAGCAGTGCCAGTGTCGCGGGTGCTGGGAGCAGTCGTACCCCGCTGTGTGTGTTGGGACAATCACATCTCCAGTGTGGGGTGCAGCTGGACCTGCCACGACCCCAGTGTGGCACCAGCCATGTCCCTCACGTGTGGTGCCCTGGGACCAGCTGTGACCCCAGTGCAGCGCCCGGGGGGTCAGGGCAGTGCCCAGCAGGGCAGAGCGAGCAGCTGGGAGTGCAGAGGTGCCACACGCCGGCGCAGCCCCATAAAGCCACCGGAGCTTGGATTTTATATGGCAATAAAAGATAATGTCAGCTATAAAGTGCTAGAGCAGGTCCTGGCGTGCCGAGCTGGGGGGGCACAGAGGGGTGGGCAGCCCCCAGCTCCCCGGGGATGCCCCAGCAGGGCAATCCCTCCTCGGGGTGAGCGGGTCCCCAGCTGGGGGACACCCCAGCGCTGTCACGGGCTGAGGTTGTGGGCAATGCATTAAAGCTGCTGCTGTGGGTGGTTGTTGTTGTTGTTTTAATGGTTTCACGAGGTGATGCTGGGCCGGGCCTGGCAGGCCCTAATGAAGGAGATTGATGGCTTAATCGCCTGCAGCCATTACGGGGTAATTGAATGGTTGTGTACATATGATCCCACCGTCAATGCCGATGTGGCTGCAAGAGAAGTGTCTGGAGCTGGGGGGACACACAGAGCCCCCCTGCACCCTGAGGGATGCAGCGTGGGGGGAGCAGAGCCCCCGGCCTCGGAACCCCCATCCATCACCACGGTCCTGGCCGTGCTGGTGCTCCTGGAGGGCTCCAGGTTCATCCAGTGGCACCAGGTCCCCACATCTCCATCCAGCTCAGCTCCCACACAGGCCACTGTGACCAGGTGCTTTAATGATGCTTTTAATTAACAAGCCCCACCTACAGGGACAAACAGCAGTGTGGGAGTGGAGCTGGGAGCATGAGGGTCCAGTACAGACGGCAGCCCCAAACTGGGGTCACCCCTGACCCCCCTCCCTGCAGGAATCCCCGAGGAGCAAACCCAGCAGAGCCCCAGGCCGGTCCCCGCGCCGAGGTGTGAGTCAAACTACTCATTTTGTGTGTGACAGCCAGGTGTTTTACAGTATTTGCTACCTGTGATCATCCATCAAGGCAATCGATAGCGTTCCTGCGGAGCTTTATTAATGATCTTGTCACCGGGCTGGTGCGGGGTGCCCGGGCTTGTCGAGAATGATAGATCATTAAGAGCTTTTGCTGCTATTTATTCTCCAGTGACCTTGTCTCTCTCCATTGTTGCTTGCTTAAGAGTTATGAATGCGAGACATGATAATTTGATATTGATCTATTTGGTAAGTTAAGAAATTTACTGCATCGTTGATGTTTTAACAAAGGATCGGCTCGGGCCCTCCCTGGTGCTGGGCTGCACACGTGTGCGTGTCCCTATGCCCGCCAGGTGGGACAGTGAGAGCTGCCTCGGGAGCTCTGCGTGCCCCCCGTGTCCCCACCTCAAGTCCTTTTGAGCCTGAAGTGCAGAAATGCAGGAGATGCCACTGTGGGCAGGGTGTTGGGATGGACAGAGCGGGGCTGTGGCCAGACCCCTGTGCAGGTGGGCTGGAGAAAGCTTGTCCCCATCCACATCCCCTTTTTCCAGCCCCTCCCTGCCTGCTCTGCCCAGCACCATGTGCCTGCCATGGTTCCCTCCGTGTCCTCCCAGATTTTTGGGGCTCTAGCGACCCTAACAAAGGAATCCCTGTAATTACTGGCGCTCCTTGTTCCTCCTGCCCTCCCTGGTGCTTCCAGAGCCCCATCAGCTGCTGGGAAAGCTGGAGCTGCCTCAGCACTCAGGACCAGAGCAGATGGACGCGCTGGTTGGGGGCTGCTGTCCCCCACTGGCATCACCGACCCCCTGGGGCTGGCAGCTCACGTGTGGAGCCAAACAGGACAAACTTCCATGAGAAAGGTGGGATTGATTGATCAACAGTGCCCTGGGATCACTTGGTGGTGGCGGATAATACAGTCAGTATTTATGTGTGATTTTGGATTTATTCTTTATTTCTGCTGGGAAATCACTCCCTGTGAGGATGGAGAGGTCCTGGCACAGGTGCCCAGAGCAGCTGTGGCTACCCCATCTCTGGCAGCATCCAAGGCCAGGTTGGATGGGGCTTGGAGCACCCTGGGCTAGTGGAAGAGGTCCCTGCCCATGGCAGGGTGTGCCACTGGATGGACTTTAAGGTCCTTTCCAATCCAAACCGTTCTATGATTCTGTGATTCCTGCACAGGGCTCCCCTCAAGGACACCCTAACTCTGCAGCTGTGGCTCAGCTCAGCCAGGAGGGACAAATCCTACTTTTATTGGGCACTATTCAAGGACGAGGCTGCAGTGAGCCCAGAGCTGCCAGGGATGATCCCTTGGCTCCTCCTCAGGGGCAGAACGGCCGTGGATCAGGGCCAAGCCCCCCGGGGGGCACTAGGCTGGGTAAAATCGCTTCAGAAGCTCCTTCTTGTTGACAGAACGGATCAGGGCCAAGCCCCCCCGGGGGGGCACTAGGCTGGGTAAAATCGCTTCAGAAGCTCCTTCTTGTTGACTTTGCCCATCTGGTTGCGCGGGATCTCCTCCACCACGATCAGCTCTGTCGGGATGGCATAGGGAGCCATGGTGTCCCTGCAACACCGAACTGAGCTGTCACAGCTGGGCAGGACCGGCTGAGCCTTCCCGGGAGCACCCACAGCCCAACCAGCCCCACCTGGGACCCCCTCCCACACGCCAGGAGCCCAATTTAAGCTCAGCCCCCCGGAGATGTGCTGGGATGTTTGTTCCTGCAGGGAGCAGTGACTGTCCCCAGGGCAGGGACAGCACTCAGCGGTGCTGGGACCCCCGTGCCCCGGTGCCAGCCCCCGAGGGGCCGCAGGTGAGTGGCCTCCCGGGGGTGTGTGTGTGTGACTGGTGGGCGGTGGCAGCCCCGGGCTCCATCCCGTGCGCTCCGCGGGGCTCTCCTGCCTTCTGCCGCCCGTGTGTCACCGAGCCGGGGCCGTGCCCGGCTCCGGCAGCGCCTGGCACAGACTCCAATGCGAGATGCCAAGTCTGCCGAGCCCCCCGAGCCCCGGCCGGCCACCTCCCCCCGCCGCCACCGGCAGCCGGCCATATGGAGCAGCCAGCTCGGGATGGCGCCTGTCGCCGGGAAGCACCGGGGAAGGCGAAAGCCGCAAAATGAATCACTCTGAAGAGGGACATGTGTCTCCTGCCAGGGAGGGCGAGAACAGGAGCCCAGTGAGCCTAAGTGACATGAAAAATAAAGGGGAGAGACAGGGCGAGAGGGAGAGGCGGGCGGGGGCGCAGCCGGACCCTGCGGGAGCTGCGTCCAAGGACACGAGAGCCATGTCCCTGTCACACAGCTGGGGACAGCGACGGGAGAGACGTGCAGGGAACACTCTGGGAAGGGGCAGGCAGGGGAGTACGGGGGGGGCTGGGCAGAGCCCTTTGCCTGGCACCAGGGACCCCCAGAACAGCCTGGGGGAGGAAGGGATCTCCTGGCTGGGTCACCAATGTCCCCAGCAGGAGATTTAGGGATGAGCAGTCACCTCAGGCACGGTGAGCATCTCTCCTGTGAGGAAGAGCTGAGAGAGTTTGGCTTCTTCAGATGGGAAAAGAGGAGACTTTTTATGAGAACTTTTTTATAGGACCTGAAGTGCTTGGACAAGGGGGAACGGCTTCAAACTGCCCAAGGGCAGGGATGGATGGGATATTGGGAAGGAATTCTTTAGAGAGTTTGGCTTGTTCAGATGGGAAAAGAGAAGACTTTTTATGAGAAATTTTTTATAGGGCCTGAAGTGCTTGGACAAGGGGGAACGGCTTCAAACTGCCCAAGGGCAGGGATGGATGGGATATTGGGAAGGAATTCTTTCCTGGGAGTGTGAAGAGGCCCTGGCACAGGTGCCCAGAACAGCTGTGGCTGCCCCTGGATCCCTGGCAGTGCCCAAGGCCAGGCTGGACAGGGCTTGGAGCACCTGGGACAGTGGAAGGTGTCCCTGCCATGGCAGGGGTGGCACTGGATGAACTTTAAGATCCCTTCTCACCCAAACCATTCCATGGCTCTGTGATCCTACCCGTGTCCCTGCTGAGGACACTGCTGGCTTTGAGCCTGCTCTCCCCGTGTCCCCTCCCTGGGGTTTTACCTGGCCCAGTCCTTGAGGTCCCTGACGGAGAGCATCTCCCCCCGGCGCAGCCTCACCACGGCGCTGACCCGCTGGCCCCACACCGCGTCCGGGGGCCCGATCACCGCCACGTCTGCAGGGACAGCAGCCACCCCTCAGCCCCCCGAGCAGCTCCTGGGGCCCAGCTGGGCACAGCAGGGCTCAGGTGTGAGGAGGGAAAAGCCACGGGATGTCAGCACGGGGTAACGCCGTGGAGCTGTGTGCTGACTCAAGGACAGAGGAAAGGCAGGAAGCTCCGTGGTTTGAGAAGCTGGAGTCAAGGGGGAGGAGGATGATGTACAGAGTGGTGTGCAGCTGGGGGCACCACTTCTGACCCCTTGCACAGGGCCATGCACAAGGGCAGGGCAGATTTAATTGCAGCCTCATTCCCAAAATCAGACAGGAGCTGCTGCTGACTCAGCTCCGGCCTGGGGAGAGCAGGAACTGTGGGGTTTAAACATCCCCTTGTGGGATCCTCTGCTGAGGCAGGGCTGTCCCCAGAGCAGTGTCCCCACGCCCTGTCCCCTCTGGGCAGGGAGCAGGGGGCAGCACAGACCTGTGATGTGGGGGTGTGCCAGGAGCTGACGCTCCACCTCCAGCGCGCTGACTTTGAACCCCCCGTTCTTGATGATGTCCACGGAGGTGCGGCCCTTGATCCAGTACACTCCATCCTTGTATGCTGCTGTGTCTCCTGGAAAACAAACAGCTCCATCAGAGGCTCAGGTTCCCCTGAGCCCCCTCTGCCTCTCCTGGCACGTGGATGTGGCACTCTGCTGGCAGTGCAAGGGGGAATGGATCCACTGCTGCAAGGCAGGGTGACATGGATACTGGGAGGGAATCCTGCCCTGGGAGGGTGGCAGGCCCTGGCACAGGTGCCCAGAGCAGCTGTGGCTGCCCTTGGATCCCTGGCAGTGCCCAAGGCCAGGTTGGACAGGGCTTGGGGCAGCCTGGCATAGTGGAAGGGGGAACGAGATGAGCTTTAAGGTCCTTGCAAGCAAAACCATTCTGTGATTCCACAAAAGAAAAAAAAGAAGAAAGGTGGGGAATGACATTGGGAAAATGAGCCCGTCCTGAGCAAGATGTTTGGTCCAACCTGTCCTTCCCACAGGTGTGATCCATGTCAGCCCAGCCCAGGTAGCACAGGATGTGCCAGCAGTGATGCAGTTTTCACACCCCAATTCCAGCTCACCTCTGGCACTGCAGTGCAGCAAAGGCCCAGAGAATTTGCTGTCAGGGCAAGGAAACATCAGAATCAGTCCTGAAAATCCAGGCTGCTCCCCACAAGAGCTGTGTCCCTGCTCAGCTGGCACCTGCCAAAATCCTGAGCAGCTCAGCCAGGGAATGATTAATTGTTCCTGTATTTGCCTGCCCCTTGGCACTCCGTGGATGCTGAAGGCTGTCTGGAATATTCTGAAGTTGGGGAAAGTTGGAAACTGGGGCTCTCTGGGTGTTTGGCTGCTTGGAGTGGGGAGGAAGCCATGGCTGCTGTGGTGAACTGCCTTCTGCACCCCGACCCTGTGGTGTGTGACTGACACAGGCTGGGACAGGGGACATTAATTAAACGGTGGCACTGGGACAGCCAGGAGCAGGAGCTGCTTATTCACACAGGGAAGATGGGGAGAGGAGAGGGAATTCAGCCCTGGTTCAGTGGCACACAGTTCCCATGCCATTCTTTGGGATGCCAGCACAGGAAACCAGCCATTTGCCCTCCCTCTGCCCCGATGGGGTGAATGATCCCTGCCAGTTCTGCTCCCCACAAACGCCAGCGCCGCTTCCCACACGGATCCCCCTGTTCCACTGGCAGCACGGCACAAGGAGGGGACATGTCACGTTATTGTTGTGACTGCTGTGAGCTCCTGGGACCAGCTCTGTAATTCCCCCTGTCCCTTCCTTTCCATCTCCTCTCCAGCACCAGGCCTGGCTGTCACTTGCCACGCTGACAGCCCGCAGTGCTCCGGGGGATGCCATCCACCGAGGACAGCCCCGTTACCCTCTGCCCTGCACCATCTGCTTCCAGCCCAGCACATCAGGCAGCCTGTGCACTGGCACATCCAGCATTCCCTGCTTCCCAAGCCAGTGGGGAATTCCCAGATCCACTAAAAGGATGCTGAATTTGCTCAACGACTGTCCCAAGCAGTGCTGAGCGTCACTTCCAAAGTGGTGCTGCCCTGAGAGCCACAGCAAGGATTGTGCCTGTCCTCCTGGGGGTCACAGGTGAGTCCTTGCCCCATGAGCCCAGCAGTGCCTGTCCTCTGGGGGTCAGAGGTGAGTCCTTGCCCCATGAGCCCAGCAGTGCCTGTCCTCCCGGGGGTCACAGGTGAGTCCTTGCCCCATGAGCCCACCAGCCCTCGCGGGCAGCTGCCGGTGCTGTGCCCATCCATCCCAGCTGCTCCATCCAGCGGGATGCAGCTCAGAACCACAACCAGCATTCCCCGTGCTCAGCCAGCTGCACCAGAAAGGGGATTTTGGCTGCTGTCTCTGACACCCCATCTCCTCTGCCCACCTGGGCCATGGCACCCAGCTCCTGTCACCACACAAAGCCGTGGCAGCAGCACCTCGGGCACGTGGCCGACGCCGGGGCCGTGGGATTGTTGCCTCCCTGACAGCAGCCGTCACTGCTACCTTTGGATTTGTTTCAAGATGCTCAGTGGGCATCTGTTCTGTGAAATGTTAAAGGCTCTGCTGAGCTGCATATTGAGCAGGCTCTGCGCCGGCGGGGGCTGCCCTTTGCTGGAGTTACAGGCGGTTGTAGATATATTTATCCAGTTAAAAACATGGAATTAGGGAAAGGGTTGGGTTGGAAGGACCTTAAAACTCATCTTGTTCCAGCCTTGTCATGGGCAGGGACACCGTCCACTGGCCCAGGCTGCTCCAAGCCCTGCCCAGCCTGGCCTGGGACACTTCCAGGGATCCAGGGGCAGTGACAGCTGCTCTGGATAACCTGCTCCCAGCCCTCACTGCCCTCCCAGCGGGATACAGAAGGACACACGGGCAAAGGAGACCAGCATTTCCCAACTCAAACTGTGGAGACTTCTGCCACGAGGTTCCGAACTCATGTTGCAAAATCCTCACTGCAAACACAAAAGGGCCCTTGGGACTCTGCTGTAGTTTGAGCACCTCCTTCACTGAGTGCTGGGACCTCGTGGCTGCTGGAGTTGCTTCCCAGGATGTGGAGAACAAGAGCCCCTTTGCTCCTCAAGCTGAGCTGCAGGACCAAATCCTCACCTGTGTCAACACCCTCACCCACAGGGCAGTTTGTTCCTGGCAAACACAGCACAATTCCCACATCAAAGGTACAACCAACTATTGACCCAGGGAATGCTTTGGCTCGACAAATGAAACACTGAGTGGCTTAGGGAGCTCTAAGACAGCTGAAGTATGCATAAAAAATGACTTTTTAGGTAAATCAGGCGACTTCAGCCTGGTGTAGATAGAGGGTCAGGAACGTTCTAGGACCTGCTGGACACACAGGATAGTGTTGGTCTCACACTGGGGCTCTGTGAGTCCAGGATTTCAACCTGCCCACAGGTGATGAGGAGAGGTCAGCATCCTGGAGGAGCCCACCCCAGGCACACCATCCCTGCTCTGGGGGGACAGATGTCACTCAGGAGCCCGGGAGGCTGTTTGCTAACAGGTGTCACCAGCTTGGTGGCAGTGACAGCGCGGCTGCCACGTGCGAGCCGGGAGCAGGCGGTGCCAGGCTGATCCAAAACTGTCACACGGCACTCCCGGCTCCTGGCAGCTGCTCCCCACCCCACGGACTGTGCACCCACTCCTTCGTGCTCACAGCTCCAGAGGGGACCTGGCAGGTGCTTCCCAGGACATTTCAAGTGTGTTACCAGAGTCCAGGAGAGTGGAAAAGGTCTCTGGGCAGAGGAGTTGGTGTTGCCCTTTGAGTGTGGTGCAAAGAAGAGTATCCACTTGGAAGGGGAAGATGGGTGAAATCTTTCTGTCCTGGCACAGCTGATCTGAGAACAGGGACGTTTTTGACTTGGCTGCGTCCTGGGTGTTGCTCCCATCCGAGGATGGGCACTGCCAGGTTGCAAAGCAAAGCCCCACAGCCCAGTGCCACCAGCAGAGCCTGCTCCACAGCATCATTCCCAGGGGATTTGGCTCTTTGCAGCTCTGACGTCCCCCCGTGCCTGTCACAGCTCCAGCAGACCAAGTGCTGCACAGCAGAAAATACCAAGAACCAGCAAATGTCCCCTTTGAAAGGCAAATGATTCTGCTGATGATTTCAGCCTCCTGCTCTGGAGGCAGTTAATCTCCAGCCAGGAGCTCCAGGGGCCGGAGCGGCGCCGGGGATGCTGGGGGGCTCTTCCCTGCCAGCAGCAGGATGTGCTTGGAGCACTTTCAAATATTAATTAGACCTTTTTGCTCTTAATGAATCACTCCTGATTTTTGCAAACTCTTGGCTTTCAAATGCTGCATGCAGAGCCCAGCCCAGAGAGGGGACAGAGAGCAGGAATGTCTCACAGACACTCCTCCAGGTGACACCGACCTGCAGGGACACTGAAGAGCTCCTCTGGGGACGGTCACACGTGCCACCCATGGGCAGCCAGCAGAGCTCCTTCAAGACCACACAGTGCACCTTGCTCCTTTGGGAGCCTTCATGGTTTTTTTTCTTCCAAACTCCAGGAGGAATTCCCTGCTGTCAGCTGCTCTCCTGCCATGAGGATCCCTCATTTCCCGAGGGAAGAGCTGGCACACAGCACCCACCCGCCCTCCTGCATTCCTCTGGAATTGCTGCTCTCACCAAGTGAGCGTGTGAGGGGGGGAGCAGCAAGCTCCCAGCTGGAAAACCCCGGGAAGCTTAAGCACTGCAGGAAGGCAGTGGGAATAATCAATCTTTGCCCTTCTCTGGTGCCTTTCAGCAGAGGATCTCCAAGCACACTGATCCAGAGGTTACTCAGGCAGAAAGGGAACAGCTGGCAGGACAGGGATGAGGATGTGGCCTCACACACCAGGAGCAGTGGGCAGGAGGTTCTGGGTCTTTGCTGTACCCTGGCATTAACTCCTACCTGCCTCCCACTTCCCTGGAATCGTTGTTGATGCTGCTGGTCCATCAGGCTGAGGCAGAGCTCACCCTCTGGCGGACACACCTCGCTGATTAGAATTATGATTTATTTTCCAGGTTGGATTGGTCCAACAGCCCAGGCAGGTGATGAAGAGCCTGAGCCCTGATGCTGATCCTCACCTCTGGGAGAGCAGAGCCAAATCTGGGAGCTCAAACCCCCTTTGCCAGGTGAGGATTTTGCAGGAGCAAGTCACCCACAGTGGATGGGGACACACAGGGACTCAGCCAGGGCTTGTGATGGTCCCCCTGACCACTCAGAGGCAGCTGTGGGGTCCCACCTGGCAGGAAGGTCCTCCTCCATCCTCCTCCTTTCTGCACAGTTTTCCAGCCTGCAGATCATCTCCAGCAGCAGAGCATGGGAATGCTTCATCACAGGCTTTGGAATCCCCCTGCAGCCACAAGCTCCATGTGCCTGTCATATTTCTCACGTGCTTTCAAGTTTCCCTGCTCTTTCCAGGGCAGTTTAGTGTCTCACCACTCTCCTAAACTCATGGGAAGGATTTTTTTGCAGGTAACACTGACACAGTGGGGCTGGGAAACCGCTGAGTGTGCCACAGCAGTGACATTCCTGTGGTCACTCTGCCTCTCTTCCCAACCCTTTGGGCACAAGCTCCCAAGCCCAGTGCAAAAAGAAATGGTTTGTTCCCATTCCCAGAGGTTCTTGTGCTGGAGAAAGGCCACGTGGGGTGGATAAATGATTATAAGGCAAGTGCTAAAGGCTTTTTATAGGAATTAGATAATCCTTCCCTCTGTGGCCGGGCCGTGGGATGGGCAGCCAAGCGCTGCCTCTCCGTCACACACATCCACCTTTCCATCCCCCCACGCCAGGAAAACTGCATGCACAGATCCCCCATCTGCTCACATACATCACACACTTCACTCCAGTTTATTAGCTGGAATAAATCATAAATATTTCATTGTATATCAGCGGCGCTCGGCTCCGGGAAGGTGCAATCCATCACCCCGCCGCTCCCCGCGACCTGCCGCCGTGCGAGAAGCTTTCCAGGCTATTAAACAAGATTGATACAGTGTGCCAGCCTGGCCTGGGGCATTTATTTATGGAGCACTGGGAGAGGGAGGGCATGGGGTGCACGGGCAGCCCAGCCACAAACCCTGCAGCAGCAAGAGGCAGAGCCCTCCTCTAAGAGTGCCATGGGAATGCTGCTGGCATTAGGAGAATCATGGAATTATTTCGCTTAAAAAAGGCCCTTAAGACTGTCTACTCCACCTGTTCCCCAGCACTAACCCGTGTCCCCAAGTGTCACATCCTCGTGGTTTTAAATCCCTGCAGGGATGGAGACTGCACTGCTGCCCTGGGCAGCCCTTCCCACGAGGAAAGCTCCCCTAATACCTGAGGCTGTCAGGTATCAGGGAAAGCTGTTTACTCTTGTCCTGCTGCTTGCTCCCTAGGAGAAGAGATGGGAGAAGACACCGTGCCAAAGTGGGACCCAGCTGAAGCAACATCCTGCCTCCAACAGGGACCTTCCAGACTGTCCTCAGCTCAGGAATTCCTCCTCATCCAAGTGAGACCTCTCTCCAAGCCACATCTCCCTGCAGGACCAGCAGCACGCTCACTGTGAGTCACTCTCTGCTGGAATCCTGGCTCGGGTGTGTTCCCAGCACCTGGGGAAGGTGCAGCTCTCAGAGATCCAGAGCCCCTCTAGCACTGCTGGGATTGATGGGAGCCCTCCCTGCTCCTGCAGGGACCGAGGCTGCCTCGGCAGCGCTGATGTATGTGCACAGATCTCTTTAATGAAATGCTAAATGATAGGCTAAATAACTGAGCACCTTTAGCTTGATTTATTGCGTGGAAGTGAGGAATGTGTGTCCCTGCTGTCAGCCATCTTGGCTGCCAACAGAGGTCACGAGCACTAATTGTAGCTAATTAACATTAATTAGACTTGGGAAAGACTGGGTCTCCTCTCCCCAGTCATCCCCATCCACCCCAGCCCTTCAGCACTCCCATTCTCTGGAAGCAGGCTGCTTTCCCAGCAGCTCCTGTTAATCCCAACACAGCTGAAATCATCAGCTCCTGCTTTTCCCCACCTTTCCCACCCTGCTCAGACCACGGGGTGAGACCTGCCAGGCTCCAGAGTCCAACTCACTGCTCCCTTTGGAGCGTGTCACAACCTCAGAGTGACTCCTAGGGGATACCCGAGTCCATCTATCCCCACCAGGTCACCTGGACCAGCAAATGCCTTCCCTGGGCTCATAGGGATGAGCCCTGGGGCTGCTCTGAGCTCCCTCTCTGCAGAGCACGGTGGGTTTGGACGGCCCACGATGGTTAATAAAGCATCAAAGGCTCCTGAGGGGGAGAGTTTGAAACTTCCTCAAAAAAACCCCACATGTCTATTAATTCCACAGCAATTATTCATGAGGAAACCCTCTCCCCAGCAGCTCCCAGGGCTCCCAGTCACTCCCTGGGTGCAGGACAAAGCCTTTGCTGGTGTCCCTGCCCTGCCCAGCAGAGCCAGGGCACTGGGAGAAGGGCGGGCACTGCGCTCCTGGGTCCAGCTGCTATCCTGGCACGGGCAGCCCTGGCTGGCAGCACAGCTCCAGTCTGCTGCCAAGATCCTCCAGCAGGGCCTGGGAGGAGAGAGGCTCAGCAGCTGCAGCCCCAGAGCTGTCCCTGAGGTGGGAACAGGCAGGT